ATTGAAGACAAAAAGAGGTGATTCAATCCTTGGTAAGGTCAACACATGACCTTTATGTTTACAGAATTCACCTGACAGTGCAGCGACCTTCAGGTTTCTTATTTCCAGAATAACAGGAAGCAGAACATAATGTATATACATACATGTGTTCACATTGAGCCAATTAAAAGCAGAAAAATTTAAATTATTACAGCTCTGGCGATTCTGCATTGATTGCAAGATTTTAAAAATGCATCACTATTCTCTCTTCAATTTATTCTGAGCTTTGTTTTTAACAACAGAGGCTACTACTCTAGGCTAGTTTCAAAACAACAGAGGGTACTCCAGGCTAGTTTTTAACAACAGAGGGCACTATAGGCTAGTTTTTAACAGCTGAGGGCACTATAGGTTAGTTTTTAGCAGCTGAGGGTACTACAGGTTAGTTTTTAAACAGCAGAGGGCACTCCAGGCTAGTTCTTAAACAACAGAGGCCACTCCAGGTTAGACCTTAAACACAGAGGCCACTCCAGGCTAGTTCTTAAACAACAGAGGGCACTCTAGGCTAGTTTTAAACAACAGAGGGCACTCTAGGCTAGTTCTTAACAACAGAGGGCACTCTAGGCTAGTTTTAAACAACAGAGGGCACTCTAGGCTAGTTCTTAACAACAAAGAGCCCTCCTGGTTTTCTAGGCTAATTTGTAACAATGGAGGGCTCTCTAGGCTTGTTTGTAACAACAGAGGGCACTCAATTCTAGTTTTTAAACAACAGTGGGCACTATAGGCTAGTTTTTAACAGCTGATGGCACTCTAGGCTAATTTTTAACAACTGATGGCACTCTGGGCTAGTTTTTAAACAACAGTGGGCACTCTAGGCTACTTTTTAAACAGTAAATGGTGTTCTAGTTTTTAACCATACATACAAGTGAGAAAGAGCATTAGTATGTTTATCGTCATGCAAGTCGATTTTTATGTGACAAGATTAATGTAATCACTCACACTAAATGAACACAGTAGTAATAAACTTAGTGGTCTTTGTAAGGAACTGGATGCAAGCAGAGTACAGCTACAATGTTACATATTTATCTCATTGTTTCACGCAAGAGTGAGTGCAGCCATTGGAAACTTATTGGACCAATACTTGCAGTATACTCTCAATCACTTCCACTAACTTTTTAGCCAAAAACAGCTTGTTATGCTTATTGATGTTGCCAACTGTTATTTTCTAATATATTTGTATGCAGTCATAAACACACTTGTTGTTTGTAGAGCATGTAGGTTGCCCATTTTTTAAATAGTTTTTCCCACTGACATATGACTATTGAAGAAAAGTGTTCCCTTTTGCAATGTGCCTCAGTGTACATCACAAATTTGTGTGAATCACATTTTACAAATTCATTCAAAATCACCACCCTGCTAAATAGATGTTTACCAGTGAAACTAGGCAAATTAATTCACTGCAAATATTTTTATAATTAAATAGCCAAACAAGCAGAAAAGGCGAGCCTGTTTGATTCAATTAGTTTTTCCTCAAACTAATTAACTATACTCTAATCATAAACATATGTAAAACCAATATTCTTTTAAAATCCATCAATTTAGCAGTGATTTACTTGCAAGAATCATTTTTACTGTGTCTTTACAAAAAAAACGTCTTTTCAAATATTTTTAACGTTAATTTGAGCATCTATAATTTAATTGGTAAGTCATATTTTATGAAAAGTATTAAATAAAAAAGTTCAAGGTCCTCTCATGGCATTGTATTTTTGCTACCATTAAAATGGGCTATGTGACTCAAGTATATTTAAACATACATTTTCCAATATTAAAACAACTGTTTTATCTATTTCGTTGATAAAGCAGAATATTTATGTCTATTTTAGGGGAGTAAAAACTACTTTCGAACAAGAGTGGGTATAATTTACCAAAAATAAAATGTTGGGTGGTAATAGTAATCAAAAATATATTATTTTGTTTTTAACTGAGAAAACAAATTTAAAGGTTTTACCCACTTGAGGGCGAGTAAAAAGCAAAAACATGTTCATGTTTTGATTGAACTTTCCCTAGAAAGTCAATTTCCATCCTAACAAATGAATTAGTGCTAAATGATGCAGACAGTAGACAAAATAATAATTTGTCATAAAATATTTTTTAAAAGGAGCGGTTCCTTAGCATTATACAAAAGCTAACGTTCGTAACTAAAAAACGTGAACATACAGCAAATATCAACCCACGTCTTTCTTTGGGGTTTTAGGGCCAGCATCAAACAATAGAGACGCGCTCCCGTGCTCCAGCGCGTGCTTCTCCGCTTTGCGCATTTAGAATTTAGAACGTTCGATGCAGCTTCCACACATTCGAATGACAGAACGTCCAGACAGCCTCGGTGTCTACATATCGACCGTTAACATTCATGCGTCATAAAGCATCATTCTCGGCCTGTTCCTGCTGAACACAAACTAACGTTAACACGCGCTGCCAAGAAACTGGGACACAGAAAATCCATGAATCGATTAAGAAATTGGCTCGGGGTGCTGCCAAATAATGCTCCCATCTTTGCGCAGTGTCTTTGCGCAGAACGCTTTTGTGTCTAAAATGCACGTTTGGTTTCATCTCGCACTTTATCTTTCAATTGCAGAACGACTTTATTCATTCCTTCATTTATTCATCTCCAAATGGCTGCGGCTGTGATGAACCTCAAGTATGCAAACCCCTATTTTTTAACGCATTTATCTTTTTTCCACAGGCCATTACAATATACTGCAGAAGCATCTGGTACGTGGCACTTACTTTGGCGGGGCTTTTGTTTTTGATGGACATCTGGCATTGCTTTTTGCAGTAATTGATATCGCCCAGTTGGTTGTCAAACAGATCAGATGATGCCGCCGCCAACGCCACCAGAATCAGAGAGACGAGTGCGGGAACTCCGCGCACCCTGCCGCCGAACTGGAGCATCTTTTTTCCTCAGGATTCGGTGCACTGGCGCGTCTGCGGGGTTCGGTGCTTCTCGACCTGTTCCTGCCGCTGCTGCTGCTTCGGTTCGGGCTCTATCAGCCTCGGTGATCTCGTGCCTTTGATGCGCCGTGTCGTCACTCCTCACATCATCACGCACGCGCTGCGCGTCTCCGTACAGTGCAGTAAGTCATGTGCACTGAAAAAATGCTGCTTACAAGGAGAAAAAGCAATCTAACAACGTTTCTTTTCTGAAACACTGCAGCTCTGATGAGGATGAATATAATGGTTTAATAAGCAATGAAACCAAATAAATAAAAAAAGTATTGAATATGAAAATATTCCACCCCAAAATAACTTGTGATTCCACTGAAGTGTCCTCGTTCTGTTTAGGAAATAAATGAAGAGTTTAAATGCAAAAACCTCTAAGTGCTGTCTAAAAATTTCATCTAAAGTCAGCATTTTTATTAGGGTGTTGTGTGTAGTTTCAGTAATAATTACTCTTGGTTCAAATAGGTTACTCTCATTGCTTTTAAAGTGAAATACCTAATCAGAAACATAGGGGGCTAAGAAAAATTAATTTTAAAGGAAAGTTTCAGATGGTTCTTGGAGAGTTTTTTTTTTCATCTGAACTCTTCAAATAGTATTTGTTCAATTAGGTTAACTAGGCAGGTTAGGGTAATCAGGCAAGTTATTGTACAACGATGGTTTATTCTGTAGACTATCGAAAGAAAATATAGCTTAAAGAGGCTAATAATATTGACCTTGAAATGGTTCTTAAAAAATTAAAAACTGCTTTTATTCTAGCCAAAATAATAATAATAATAATAATAATAATATATATATATATATATATATATATATATATATATATATATATATATATATATATATATATTATCAGACATACTGTGACGATTTCCTTGCTTTGTTAAACATAATTTCAGCTCCACTAGACCCAAACCAAGCAAGCTAGTGGCAAGGCTGTGTTTGCTTTGAACACAAAAGTAGATATTTTGAAGGCAGAAGAAATTATTGACATCTATAGTAGAGGAAACAAATACTATGCAAGTCAATGGTTACAGGTTTTCAGCATTTTTCTAAATATCTCAAAAGTCAGATAGGTTTGGAACAGGTGAAGGGTCAATAAATAATGACAGAATTTTAATTTTGGCAGAACAATTATATAGCCTATACAAACAATACCTTTTTTTACATTGGGAATATTTTATAAAATATAATAATAACATGTAATACAACTTATATTATTACAGTAAATACAATGTTAAAATAAAATATTTTATTGTCCCAAATTTAATTCACTATTTCTATATTAAACACAAGCGATGATTACTTTGTTTCAATTAACTTTTGTGAAAATATGCAAAAATATTAAAACCAGTTCTTACATGTACTAACAGTGCATGACAATGAACATGAGTATCCATTTCTCAGTGAATATAGGCAATGTATTTTGATGTGTTTAAACAAGACATATTTAATAAACAGATATATTAATTAAAACAATATTTTAGTCACCGAACATATTTAGAAAATGGAAGATAATACAATTAAATTCAAGCTACATATTGCAATTTTTAATTTTTTTCTTCTACAACATAAATTTGGGTGTACGTTTGGACTGTTATCATAAAGCTAATTACTTAGCCCCAGATTTGACTTCAGTACTGACAAATCTAATGCATGCACAAATATAAGATTGTATAGCTACCTATTAGAAATATGATATATTTCTAGAAATAGAAATATTTAAAAGAAATATTTAAAAGAGAGATTTGTGGGGGGTGTAGTTATGTGCTGCAGCTGAGCACTTATTTTAATATTTAAAAGAATAAGTAATCGTACTAAATTTGATTATATTTAAAATTATTAAAAACTTCTGACATATTGGCAAAACATTGGCAAACTTAATATTAGAATTGCAATCTATTTGTATTTTGGGGCTGCACTTTGTGAATTAAACTTTTGTTGTTCATAAATAATAATAATAATAATAATAATAATAATAATAATAATAATAATGTATTAATATTATGAACTGGCTAATTGAATAACAGTAAATATACATATTTATTCTACATTATTACTTTATTCTCCCTTTTCCCCTTATCATTGATTCATTTAAAAATGTTGTTACTTTAATGTTTGAACTAGCCTTAATTTACCTGTTTACAAGCTATTCTGCATTACAAATTCTTACAGTTAAAAAAGCTTAAGTGATGTGGAATTGAACTTCCAAATGTACTAGACTATGCATTTTATCTCGAGTTTGTACGAAACCGTTAAAAGGCTATCCGTATGGAACAGACAGACACTCAAAAAGAAAAGGATGTCCTTCATTATTTTCTTTTTCGGCACACTTGTATACAAAAGAGAAAAGAAAACACAGTCTGCAGATGCTCTGCTAATAATGGCTTGTGGCTGTGTGGTAAGACATGGGAGGAGCTTCAGGAGAATCAACTTTTTCAGCTTTTGAGGCGTACTCTATATTGATTCCTCTCCAAAATTGAGAGTGAAGGTAAATCTGAGCGTCCTCTTCGCATAATGATGCTTTTCAGAAGCAGCAATGGGTTTCACGAAGCTTTCTGGTGATTAAGGCTTTTCCTTTTCAGCAATTTATGTGCAGGAAAATGGATTGTGCGCGCGCGCGCTCGCACCAGCATGACAAGAATCGAGTTGAGAGCGCGCGCGACAGACAAATGACAATTTCAGTCATTATGTTGTTTTTTGTCGCGTTTCTTCCATATGCGCTCTCAGCACGTAAGTACAATTTTATAAGTAGGCTTTTTGATGTTTAATATGAGCTAAAGCAATTTGTAAAGTCGTCTACAAACTTCATCTTTATTTAAAGGTCTTTTTGGAGGTGTTTGTTTTCTTTTTTTCCCTCCCTCTACTCACGTGAATGTCAACTTAGAAGTCTTATTAGGCTTAGATTTTACGCTAAACTACCACAGTGAATGAGGAAAGATTACTTTAAAATGTGCTAATTTTAATTTGCAAGGCTTTCGTCAAAATTAAACACTGAAATGTTCTGAAAGTTTTTTAGTGAGTGTTGAATTGTTTTGTTTACAACAGTACACTGTTAAAAAATTCCGGTTGCCTTAAATTTGTAAGCAGAAACAAGTTAGTCTTATGAGTCCATTGAACTTATTGAACGTTATAACATGATTAACTTAGTTTAATAAGTTGCAATGAGCTAAAAACATATGCTGTCATGACTGCTCATATATTTTTTACAGTGTAAAATCTAAAAATATTATTACTACAATATTGGGAAATTCTAGCTTTGTGACATTTTATATATTGCAATATGAAAACAATATCACCATTTGACTTAATATTTCTATTTGGGAATAATTTATGTAAGATCAATTGGGGGTCCCTCAACATATTTAATATTTGCATGTGTTGCAAGTATTTTTATGTATGTGTTTAGTCAGAGATTAAAGAACTAATATTAACTATTTGCATCTCCATAAAATCTAATAAACAATGTACAAACTTTTTGGGATCCCCGACACATTTTCAATGTGGTCGGTGCTATTTGCAGTGCAATTCTGTATTTGCATGTGTTGTATTTTCATGCATAACAATCTATAAATACAATCAAGAAAAAGATACAATTGAAATAAAGTGTTTTATCGTTTCCAGAGTCTAACAGTGTTTAAGTAACTGAATGATAAAAATAATTCAATAAAATGAATCGTAATTAAGGTCACAAACGGTATGATTTCTTATACCTGAATGTAATTAAAATTATACAATCACAAAAACACATGCAAACGATATATTATAATACATAGTCAACATTGCATACATCCTGCAATGTAACTATTGCGAATCATCACATTGCGATTTCGATGCTGGAACGATATATATTACGTTACCATAGCAAATACAAAAAGAGAAACATTAAAATATATTAAGATTAAATTAAAAAACATTTCGGTGTGCATTAATAAACTTAAATGACAAGGTCTTGTTTACGAAAAATAGCTTGTCATTGGGTAATACTGCTTTTAAGACAAGTTTTATTAGGTTTACCTTGGGTATCCTTCCACTAGAAGATATAGTTCATCTCCTGTACTAAATATTTTGATAAAAAATTATGAAAACTGTACAACATATCATTCACCAGTTTCATTACTTATTTCAATATCTTTCTAAACTATGTTTAAGGTGACAAAGTCTACAATAAAATATGAGTACAATACAATAGTTTTCGATTCATCATTCTTTAATGCTCCTTATGCTGTCCAATGGCACATGTTAAAGAGCTTGTCCGCCTCCCACCAGGTCAACACTTGTTCTCCCTGAAGGCCAGAAGTAGCAGCTCTTCAAATCCAGCCATTGTTCAACTCTGAACATTTGTCGTAAATATGAATAAATATGAGTTCTGCGGACACACAAGTCGAATATTTACAAGATGGAAAACCACTTAAAATGCTGAAAAATGACCTTGTGCAACTTTTCCAACTGCAGCCATAAATCCAGTTGTTAAATTTCTGGAATCATCAAGTCTCTTCTTTTCTTCTGACCCACAGATTTGCCTGTCATATCCCCCCAGGATCCAGTACTTCCCATTGGCTCGAGCTTGACTGCGGTGTGCACTGTGAGTGCCGAGCTGGAAATAACAGCTAGGTCCTTGTACTGGACACTGAATGGGAGACGCTTGGCTAGAAACACGTACAGAGTCCTGAGCCAGACCGAATCGAGTGTCACACTTCATCAACTCAATGGCTCCTTGCAGCAGTCAGGAGATAATCTGGTTTGCCATCGAAGTAATGGAGAAGTGCTGGCCGGGTCCTGTCTTTATGTCGGCTGTGAGTGTCTTTTGATAAAGTTTCTGTCATTTGTTTTTTAAATATTCACGCCATCCTCTGCTTTTTAAATTTGACAGCATCCCCTGAGAAACCCATCAACCTGACATGCTGGTCACGAAACACCAAAGATCTGAGCTGCAGATGGAGTCCGGGAAGTCAAGGAGAGACGTTCATCAATACCAAATACGTCCTCAAGTACAAGCTGAAGTGAGATTTTGACCGCACACTGACACCTGTTTTGGAAGAGTAACTTTTTACATGCAGCTTTACTGTTTTCTAGATGGTATGGTAAGGAAAAGGACTGTGAAGACTACACGGGACAGTCGTATACATGTTACGTTCCACGTGACCTTGCCATTTTTACACCATATGAAGCCTGGGTTGAGGCGACCAATCAGCTTGGCTCTGCCACTTCAGATGTCATCACCTTGGACATTTTAGATGTAGGTAAGTAGGACTAAAAGACACCAGTTGGAAGGTAAAATGGATGTTAAGATCAAGGTGACTTGAAATAATGTCACGCTTCCCAACCCGCACATAAACGCATGTAAAAGCATCTGAATGTCTGGCATATGGTGCGCACACTGTGAGAATAGATTTTTACAGACTGTAAAAGTACTTTCCAACAGCTGAAACGATTCCAAAAAGCAACTCGTGAAAATAGTAGTTTAAAGGTCAACGGGCAGCTGGAAGTCTGTTGGCAATTTGTTAAAACTGTAAATCGAATGACTTATTTGACATTCCAATGAATTAATCGAATTAATCACAATTTCAATACATCCATCAATCAGCGCTTTTTTGTCAAGAAAAGCGAAGATATTACATTACCACACCATTTTTAAGCCCTCACTTCCCTCTGAAACAATAAGCTCTGGAATTCTTCATGATTGGCTTCGCCCTAAGGGTGCGCTTGATTAAAAAACCTAGCAATGGAGCGGGTCCATTGCAAACAACAATGGAAATGGGGGATTACATTAGCAATGACAGAATATTGTTTAGCTAATGAACGGCGAAGGAGGTTTATTGCGAGATTCAATTACAAACAACTAGTTATCAGTTCTTTGAAGAAAAGAAAGAACATTGCCAGCGTTTATAGGGTCTAATCAACAGTTCTTGAAAATGACTTTCACGCAGTGTTGGATTATGTGAAATGTTTCTGTTTAGTAACTACAGACCCCCCTCCTGATGTTCTTGTAAGCCGTGTTGGAGATCTGGAAGATCAGTTAAGTGTACGTTGGGGCAGTCCTCCTGCCCTGAAAGACTACCTGTTTCAGGCCAAATATCAGATCCGATACCGTGTGGAGGAGAGTGACGAATGGAAGGTATGGCTTAAATCATGGATGTCAAGCTCTTATCAAACTGTCCTTCAGGCTTGTTTGAAACTTACAGAGAGGTGTGTTGAAACAGGGTTGGAGCCATACTCTACCAGGTTCCAGCCCTTCAGGAATTGACTTTGACACGCCTGGCATAAATGTTTGGTCCAGAGCAGGGTTCTTCCACACTAGTCATGGAGAGACACTCTCACATAGATTTCAAATCAAATCCTGAACAAGCCAATCAAGTGAGTGTGTCCTTTCTGCAGCCTGTAGCACGATGAGGTACTAGATCAGGTTGTTGCTAGAAACGAGAATCATTTATATTAATTATTAAATAACCCTCTACATTGTGTTTTTAACATCAACACTTGGGACTGAAGTCTACAACAGTGTTTATCAACCCTGTTCCTGAAAGCACACAATAATATACTCCTAATCAAACACACCTGAATCAACCCAGAACAGTAGAAGAGCTTCAGAACCTGAAAATATTGGGTCAGGTAAGGTACACATACAAAATATTTACTGCAGCACAGTAGCTCTAAAAGAGCATAAGTGAATTATTCCCCATCTAGGGGTTCACAACAAGCTTCAGCCATGACCAAATATAAAGTCTTTCTTGGATTGTTGTAAACATTGGTTTCTTTGTTCAGGTGTGTCTGATTAAGGTTAATTCTAAAATTAAAAAAGGAAAATGGAGCTTGATGTAGGGCTGGTGTAGGGCTGATTTTTTTCACTTAATTCGAATTAACGTTTTAAGACGATTTTATTTCATATTAAATTGAGACATCGTGATTTTTTAAATAAAAATATTAAATGCATCATAATTGCACCAATGCGCTTTGGTTCACTCTCTGTATGAAGCAGGTCGCACACCAGAAGCGCTGCTCGGCGACATGCCGCGCAGTTCATATTTCAGCCACGCAACAGAGTGGCATCTGATAAGTTTCATGTTAAATATCATGCGAATGTGCAATAAATATCATCTGGTGTGTGATACTTTAAACTGTCATGTGTCGCGGCACTTCTGGTGTGCGACCTGCTTGACTGCCTGTTTGGGTTTCAATCATGGTAGTGACGGACTGAACAGAGACTGGACAGTCTAATTTAACCTACTGCATGAAGTTGTGGGCATGCATCGCAGAGCTAGTGCAAATACAACAAATACAAGCATTAAAGTGTCTTCAGTTGTGTATTTTTCTTTTGTTAATACCTTTGCATCAAACGCACTGTGGTCCACTCTCTCATGCTAAGCACTGCCTGATGAGGGGATTTACATTCAGACTAATGCAGTTTACTAAGTCATGTCTGTGTGGATTGTCAAGACGTATTCCTTATCAAGTCAATAAACTCAATCTCAACATGTATGAAGGACGTAAAAACCTGCCATGTGAAAAACCACACCAATCTTATAGTTCGAACCGGGCTGATCTTAGCTTGGTTTGGACACGGGCAGAGGTGAGGGCCTGTAGCAGTGAAAATGAAAGTACCCGCTTCCATGACGTCATTTAGCGGACCTAGTTGAAACCCAGACATGCAGTCAGGCAGCATAATACAGAGAGTGGTGCAAAGCGCATCAAATGATAGGTATTTAAAAGGGGAAAAAAGATAAATAGAATTAATATATTATTTTATATTAGACACACATCTGGTGCTTGTCTTTGCTCCTGCTATACGTCCACAACTTCAGGCACTGGGTTAAATTAGGCTTTACAGTTTCCATGTTCAGTCCCTTACTTCCACTGTATCCAAGGCAGCAGCATAACAACTTGTCATTCAGTCAGAAGACAAAGTCAAAGCCGAGCTAACAGCAAATCTTTCCTAGGCTCAGTAAAACTTGCAAAAAATACCTCTGTATTCCTGCAACTGCAATATTTACACAAATAGTTTTTATTCAAATCTTCTGCACGATATTTAACTTGTGAATTTGTCTTACATTTATTTACACCTTGTTGACCAATTTATGTATGGCATGGCCATTAAACATAAAATGTTCCTTAACCAGATGGTTTTTTAAGTTACTTATAAAGAGAATGTTACTTCAGTCATGTTGTTGTAATGTTTTAAGCTGACTAGTTACACTATAAAAAAAATCGAAATCTTGAATCGGTCAAACTTTATAAAAAAAAAAAAAGATTATTTTTTTTTTGCAAAATCGCCGAGCCCTAGCTTGATGGCTAAAGTTGGGAACTCTTGATTTAGTCCAACAGTGTCCAGTCTTGTTCCAAAAGGGACAACATCCTATTGAGCAGGAATATAAAAACTAGGTCCTGGCTCAGCTCCGACACACCTGTCTGGAAGTTTTTACTATGCCTAATAAGGCCTTGACTAGCTGCTTGTTTAATTAGGGTAGGAACTAAAAGAATAAAGCCAAGGTCACACTAAAGTGTGGGAATGCAAAATTCTATTGTATGGTGCTGCGAAAAGCAACGAGATAAAACAATATGGTTAAACATTGATGAAATGAGCGATTGCTTCATAATTGACAATTCTGTACAAAGAAGTCATGTTTTGATCTTATATTGGTCTCACTCAATCATGTGATGCAGTTTTGCAGGCCAAAGTTCAACAAGCTTGAACTTTCGAATGCAACGACATTCTAAACTTGTGGCACAAGCTTGTGTTTCCGGTCTGTTGCATTAGCATATGTATGAATGGCAGGGTATAGGGCGAAAGTGCAGTGTAACCATGACTTAAAGACATCGGCCCTCCAGGAACACCCCTATCATAGAGTTTAGGTCCAACACACCTGCTAGAACATTTCTGGCAATCCAGAAGACCTGCTTCAAGTGTGTTTAATTAAGGTTGGAGCTAAGCTTTGCATTCCTACAAATGTTTGTCAAAAAGAACTCAAGTTTTTTCCTTAGTGTATAGAAATGTCCTGGGGCCTCATGTACGAAGACTTGCGTGGAAATCTTACTAAAACATTGCGTACGCACAAAGCTGTAAATGTGCGTACGCAGAAAAAAATTCAGATGTATGAAACACTGCGTACGCCGAATCTCACGCATATTCTTTTGTACATCCAAATGAACGTGAAACTGAGCGCAACATGCACGAGCGCAAAACCCCTCCCTGCCTCCTCCCCCGTATGAATATGCTAATGACTATGCTAATGGCAAAACCCAACGAAAAAGCAAAGGCAAAAGCAAGCAAAAAGAGAAACTTTGAACAGAATGTGAATTGGTGGTGCTCCTTTCGGAGGTAGACAGGAGAAAAGCGGTGTTATTTGCAAGTTTGTTCTCCGGAATTAACAACAAAAGAAAAAAAAATAGAGTGGGAGAGTTTAGCTGATGCGGTTAACACAGTTGGGTCTGAACATCGCACTGAGTGCATTAAAAAAAAGAAATAGTGTGGTTTATATCTGTAAACTGTTGCAGCACTCGCAACAGTCTCAGTGGCGCGCTCGTATAACGCATGTCATCATGTTTTGACACGTTCGAGCATGAACTCGGCTCGAATCCAGCGTCTGATGAACTATTTCTTGTTTTTTCCCCCGCTACATATCAGATTTTGCCTACTATTTATCACGAGAAAGACAAGTAGGAATCATCAATAAGTTTGTGCATCATATTTTATTTGCACATTTATTGAATGGAAATGTTTCTGATTCACGCATGCAAATTCATCTTCAGATGGTGCCTTTATAGCAATGTGCGTGCAGTAGATAGCTCAGATTACATTGGGAAAACAGGCGACCGCTGCAAATTGTGCTTTAATGTTTAGCTGCTCAACTGTATGGTATGGAAATCTTATTTACCTGCTAGATCGATGAACCCGTCTCATACAGCTGCCATTGCAAGGCTCAGTCACTTTGTAGAGAGCAATTTAACACAACTGCCTCTAGGAGTCGCCAATGGAAATAAAACAGACACGCACAAAAAATGTGCGTACGCCTGCCAGAAAGCTGCCGTGAACCTGCGCACATTCCCACGTTCAGTTCATTGTTAGTAAATCCAAACGTGAGCGATTCTGAGCGTGAAACTTGGCGTACGCAAAGTTTTTGTGCGTACGCAGCGTTGATACATGAGGCCCCTGGAGATTCTGAAAATTTTCACCTTAGCAGGAGTTTTCAAAAATGCTTAGACATGAGCTGGATAAGCAGGTTCTGACTTGTCCTTAAGTCAACCCTGACTTTAAAGGACAATTCACCCAAAAATTAACATTGTTCCATACTTCACGATTCGTGTTTTTTATGGATTTATGCTTTTGAATTGCATTGTGGGAGCTTGATTATATGAATAAAATATATATTTTGATGAGTCTCCTGACTACTCTTTATCACTCTTTTTTTTCTATTTCCCTACAGGTAATAGATGATGCTGGGAACCAAACATCATGTCGTTTGGCTGGTCTCAGAGCGGGTACAGTGTATTTCGTCCAGGTACGATGCAACCCAGTGGGCATCTACGGTTCGAAGAAGGCAGGTATATGGAGCGACTGGAGCCACTCAACTGCCGCATCAACTCCTGGCATTGGTGAGTTAATAGCAAAATTCATCCCCTTTACTTCACATTAGACTTCTGCGATCATCTGCTAATTAGATTCCGACCACATGTAAACACTGAAAGCATCAAGCTGCTTGATAGGGATCTCTCATAAGTAGATTTAAAAGACCTCAGCAAAATGTCAGAGTGCTGTAGGGGGACAATTGATGATTTCTTTGGACTTTTCTTAGATTGATAAATGAAAAAAGTCTTTCTGAGCTTGTTCCGATTAAAGGGGCAGTCGACCTGAAGGTTAGTGAAAACAGATACAGTTCATAAGAAATGATGTTACATGTCTTGCATTAAAGAGAGGATGTTATTAAGCTCTGTTTTATGTCAGGCAGTATGAGTTATGGCAAGCCTGAGCTCTTCTCCTGCATTCTGCTTTAATGCTTCGGAGCTCATTAGCAGAGAGATCTGGTAAATAGGCTATTATTCATGGGTATGTGCACATCGCTCAGGGCAAGACCGTACAATCAACAGCATTTATGCATCTGTCATTCGCTGTAGTTGGATTTAACAAATGTCTCGCAAATGCCTTTATCTGAAGATTAGCATATAAACTATGTAGTTTCTAATGTAATAAAACACCAAAATGAGGGTTACTAAAAAGGGTTACTAAAAAGATCTAGGTGGCACGGGCGCTCAGTGATTAGCATTGTCGTGAGAAGGTCGCTGGTTTAAGTCCCGGCTGGACCAGTTGGCAATTCTCTGTGGAGTTTGCATGTTCTCCCAGAGATAGGTGAGGCTGGAGATGTGCGCAATGATGTTTGTGTTAGCTGTACTATGCACTGGGTTTTGGGCGACCACAGCAATCGAATATTTTACCAAAGTTGGTGACCAGGGGATGATACAGACTGTACCAAAAAGCAGAGAACAAGAGGCGGCGACGGAGGGGAGGGGGGCTGGAGGACAAGAGGTTGTAAATTACAGGAGTTTTCGGGAGAAATTACAAAACAGAAGGGTGTCGGAAGATGGGTCTGAAATACAGGAGACTCCAGGGACAAATGGGAGTAATGGCAGTGTATGAGTGTTTACCAGTACTGGGTTATGGCTGGAAGGGCATCCGCTATGTAAAATATATGCTGGAATAGTTGGCGGTTCATTTCGCTCTGGCAACTCCCAATAAATAAGGGATTAAGCCGATGGAAAAAAAATAAATGAATGAATAGATCTCAGTGATATACTGAATATTGACATTATATTCAAGATACATTTGCTGGCGAGTTTAATTTAGGCATGGTTGTAGAAATATTTTTTGAATTTCCTGTGAACTCAACATGATTCTTATCTTGAAAGCATTAAATGAAATGATATTCACTCAAAAAATGCATAATATCACTTTAAGTCAATTATATTTGAAGAGTTGTTTGATTTTCTTTGAATAAACATTAAAATAAAACACATTTATTAAAATAGATTTGATAAAAATATTAACTAAATGTATTAATATTTAATAATTTAAGCAAATGAAATATGAGAAAAGTAAAATATAATAAAAAAGAAACAACAAATTTATAACAGTACAAAAAATTACAAAGCAAATACTTTAAAGATAATTCGGATTGTGACTCTTTTTTTCATACATATATTACACATAATATGTAATAAAAGGTATATGGAGATAAACGATGTTTCTTTTTGTCAATTTACAATGATTACTATTAAATGTAGTTTTAACCATTGCAAGTATAATATAGATTCATATAAATATTGGAGGCGACACATTGGCGCAGTAGGTAGTGCTGTCGCCTCACAGCAAGAAGGCCGCTGGTTCGAGCCTCGGCTAGGTCAGTTGGTGTTTCTGTGTGGAGTTAGCATGTTCTTCCCGCGTTCGTGTGGGTTTCCTCCGGGTGCTCTGGTTTTCCCTACAGTCCAAAGACATGCGGTACAGGTGAATTGGGTAGTCTAAATTGTCCGTAGTGTATGCTTGTGAATAAGTTTGTATGGATGTTTCCCAGAGATGGGTTGTAGCTAGAAGGGCATCTGCTGTGCAAAAACATATACAGGATAAGTTGGCGGTTCATTCCGCTGTGGCGACCCCTGATTAATAAAGGAACTAAGCCTAAAAGAAAATGAATGAATGAATGAATGAATGAATGATAAAATATTGGAAATACATATTACGGAATTCACTGATATGTAAATTCACTGGTAACATCGATATTATTACCTTTTTACGGCCAATAAATGACAATATTGTCTAAAACAATAAAAAAAGAGAACACTAAAACTGTAAAAGTATAGTAAAGCACTATTTTTAGCTGGAGGAGCCCGTTTAATACCAAAAATATTTTATTTAATTTTAATAATATATATATTACATCATATATCGTTAAAAAACAAATAGAAATCTGTTTAAAAACTTAAATAAAATTAAAAAGATCTGCAATTACTAAGCAAATCTGCTTGTTAAGTGGTGACGTGTTGGTGACGTATGTAATACTGTTTCCGGGTCCAAGCCGCCATTCATTTGAGTGGAGAAATCATTCGTTTATGATCACATTTTATTCCTATCACACATTAAAGTTAATTTTATATAAAATCATAGTGTACACAACACTCTTTGGGCTTGCTGCATCAGAAATACCAAAATTTTAACAATTTTTAAAAAATGAATCACTTTCTGGCCATCGGATATTAGGCATGGACATATATATTGCCATTGTGATTTTCAAAAGTATTAAATCGCTTTGTAAACGTTTATTATTACCATTTCATGAGTCTCCCCATTCAGTAGAATAGAGCGCTTGGACCCGGAAGCCGCTTCGCGTGACGTCACACTTAACAAGCGGATAACGAACTGGCCAGCATATTCAACTTTCCTCGTTCGGCTTGTTCTTAAAGCCTTTTTTAATGGAGTATTTTCACTATTTAAGATGGCACAACAATCTAAATAGGACAAATGAGCTCATGTATGAGAGAAATCCTGGACCTTTGTCAGTGAGAGGTGGGTCTTTCGAACTTTCGAACTAACTTTCGAATGGGCTACGGGCTAGATTTAATTGCTACAAGTAAATGCAAGCTAAATATTATAATGCCCAGTATGAAAAACGACACATATACTAATTTAATTAAACCAATTCTATTTGATTTATACATGCACTATCTATTTTTAGTTTAACATTATCAATTTGTGCAGTTGTCTGCGAAAAAAAAAACTATGAGAATGTCTATTTTTCCCAGCAGATAGGTCCCAAAGTGGCTCGTGCGATTCAAAGCCCAGCGAGAACAACTCAACGCTACGCAAGGAGCTCAAGCAGTTTTTCGGCTGGATGCGCAAGCACTCTTATGGCTGCACGGACGTTAGCATCAAACTGTACGACCAATGGCGCGTCTGGCTGCAGAAAGCCCAGAAAACACATGATCAGGTCAGTAAAAAAAGACACACATCAAGACTCCACACAATCAATGTTGGCACACATGACACACACAGCCTCCATTTTGTGGTTTTGTGTGCAACCCACAAAAAAGAGAGCCCAAATATCTGGTAATTCTTTTGATCAATACACTCGCATTTGATTGCGTTTGCTAATGGCGGAGCATCATATAATCTTCAGACGGTTACCACAACAGACGGAAAAACGGCCAGTCAAAGTAATCAGCAGGAATGCTAATAAATTCCTTTTAGTTTAGACTGCGTGGCAAAGCTTCAAGTCTTGTGTGGCGAACGCGAACGCAAACCAACATCCGCTGCACGCTCTCTGAACCGACCCAGTGGTTACTGTCGCCTTGGCACGGACGACTGTTGGGAAACGTAGGTCGCGTCATTAGTCACATTGTCCTTTGAAGAACACGATGTAACTGCCTGGTACCAATTACGCGTCTCTGTCTCCATATATCAAGTCATCACATTCTCTTGTAAATGCCATTGTCTTGCCTTTCAGGTACTACAAAGCGGTAAATCATAGTGAAAACTCCAAAAGAAGACTTGGGAGAGTTTGCGGGGGCCGGCGACGACATGGGTTTTATCACTCTCCAGTGCTTGGGACGTTTCATTGGGATGAGTCAAGACTCTCTGATGAAGCGACATGATCTACTGTTTGCCTCCTGCCGTAGGGCTCATCAAATACGACAAAGGAAGCGCTTTTGTCTCAGGCGCGTTATTTATAAGGGCATTAAAACTTAAAGACTCAAAATGAGGAGAGAGAAAATGAGAGAGTGTGAAATGTTTCAAAAGAGAGTCGACTTTCTATTTTCATCCACAATAAAAAGGATGTTTTATTAAAGCTAGCATTGGATGGCATGCAGGTGGGTTCAAAACTGGACAATATATTTAAGCATTCACATACTTTTAGTCTTTTGAAATATACTCCATTTAAACAAACATACAGTAGGTGCCCTAGTAAGGTTAGTTCTTGTACGGTGTTCACACTTTTTCCATTCAAAGTTATGATCGTTAAAATAAGTCTTTGTATTTATTTAAAGAGCAGGTCACGTGATATTTTAAATTGTCCTAATAACATCTAATGAAGCTTTTCACTGCATTGTTTAGAATGGATCACTTTTGAGGGCTTTTCCGCTACATTCTGTACCTTTTACAGTTTAGTACCACCTTAAGTGAGGTTTCAAGGGGGATGTAGTGTTACAAAAACAATGTATACACACCGCTGTCGCCTGATTGATCAAAGAACATTAAAAACGAAGATGAAATGTTTTGATAGTGAGATATTTACTTTCATTAAATCATTTGCCCCAGAGATAGATGGATTCTTGCACTGATTAACACTGATTTCCTACTGTTTTTGTTAGTAATACGCAATAATTTACATAAAAAATGTGTTAATTATAGAATAACTAATATATACATATATATAAAATATATAACTTTTATAGAATAAAAGTTAATTATAGAATAACTACTTAATGTTGTTGTATAATCAGATAAAAGTAAATGTAACAATATTCAAAATAGGTTATAATTGTTCTTAGGTAGGTAGGTAGGGTATATAGGTAGATGGATAGATAGATAGATGGATGGCTGGATATTGCAGTACATCCAAAAAAAAAAAAAAAAACTCGGGTGAGGTTCAAGCGGGCTGTAGCATTACAGAAACATAATGTATACACACTGCTGAAGACTTATTGGTCTGAGAGAACTGTAACTACCAGCGTCACTGAATTTGTGACGAGACACCAAACCCGCTATATTTAAATAGGCAGCACTAGCCACTAAAGTTTGTTCATATGATTAAATGGTTTTAATAGAATGTAAATGGCAGCATTGTGGTAAGTAGTCAGTAGAAGAGGTCCATATTTTTCTCTTGTAGGTAGCTGAGGAATGAAATGAAAAGTTTTTTAAGAGGTCAAGGCTAGATTTTGCCAAGTACAATGCGATATTGGATTGACATCTATGTTGATCCTGGAACATAATTTTTGTTAGAAAATGTAATTCATACCTATTCCCTAACACTAAACCCAACCATAGCTGTACATTACTCCCAAAATCCGGGGGGGAAAATAGTTGGATAATAATCATGTAAAAGTGTATAAACCTAACCATAAGCCTAAACTTATTGGTAAATGTATCCCTTAATTCTGATTGGCTGCTTGGAATGTAGTTCCTGGATCAACATAGATGTTAATCCAGGAATATGTCCTACTTGGTGAAATCAGGTTGACGCAATAGAGATGCCACAACTATAGCGAAAACCCCATCCACTTAAGGTGGTACTGAACTGCAGTGGAAATGCAAACTGAGCAAAGCACAACTGAACCAACTCTGTACTGTAAAGCTAAAAGATGTGCCGTGCCGAACCGTACTGTGCAGTGGAAAAACTGTTTAAGGACAGAAAACATTGTAATTTTTGTTAGAAATTGCATTTAACAGTGGAAACATTTTTGCAATGATTTCAATATCATTAATTTGAATCAATTATGTGTTTATGGTCTGTAAACCCCTCCTTTTTAAAAAAACGCCACTATGATTGACCAAGTCCATTTTTAATGGTGCTTCCATATTTTTTCTGTGTTGGAAGTAAAATGGGGTTTTTTAGAGTGTTTTATGTCAAGGGCAGGTGGGGATTGTTGATGCAGATTGCTCACTCACCACGCTGCTTTTGATTAACAACTGTTACTTTAAAGGACATCTACACTACAAACTGCAAATAAGGTACTTTTTCAAAAACCCATTCGACCTGCTCTTTAAACAAATGTCATGGACATGTTTAAATCCCCTCACACATGCACTCTAGTTATTGCAGTCCAGTAGTTTGTTTCTCTTGTTCTGGATGCAGTTTTTTAGTTCAGTGGTGGCACCTTGATAGAAATATTCAAAGTGCATTCTGCCTGGAAACAAAAAAAAAGTGGGGTCGGTGATACATATCTAGGTGGTCCGTGAAACCGTTTTAAGGCTTTGAATTCTGTGATGTGTAAAATGTGCACATTTTGGATGAATAAATCAAAGCTATCATTGTTCACTTAAAACAATCAAAAAATAATATTAATAATAAAAATGCCATACTAACATTAATTTTGTAAATAAAGGGGAATATAATTTTCATGTGATGACTTTTTTTTAAATATTCAACTGTTAATGTATTATGCCTTCATTTCATAACCACCGTTTTTGATAATTAGTAATCCAGAGAATGCAGAATTATCGCATGTATTTTAATGAAATATTACATTCTTAAAATTGTTTTAATTGGATTGAATATGTTTTTAGATTATTACAATTTAATAAAAAATATTTTAAAACTATTTAAACACAATACATTCGGAAAGCAATAAACTGAAATTTGATGGGGGAAAAAACAAAATCAAACATTTTATAGTGGCCTAAATAGCATTTGTGTAAAACCTTTAATAAATGTTATATTCGAAAAGTTTTAAAAGGTTTTAGAATTATGTAGAAGGTAAATGAACATTCAGGAAAAAAAATTAAAAATTAAAACAGTATAAAATACTGCATTCTGTAGCAAGCAAGCATATAAACAATATATCCCTGTTTTAGTGAAGTTATGAAAACTGGACTACACATTGAAGAGATGCTTCACTAAAAAAAGGGAATGATTCCTGGTGCTAAAATATGCCTGATGCTTATATTTAGAATCTTCTGAAATCATGACAACAAACAGATCAACATTTCAATCATTATTCACTAAAAAGGTGATATTCAAATGTATTATTTGAATAAAGAATCAGCATTGGTATTAAGATTTTATTTTGAATGAATCAGCCAATCCAAACTCATCTGAATGATTAATTTACAACTCCCAATGTGACTCACTGATTCAGTTCAAAAACGATTCCTTGTATTGATTTTTTATCTCCTTAATTGTACTTTTCCACACACACTGTGAAAATGCTGAGTTCCACACAATTCATTTGTTTTGGGACAATATGAAGGAATTAAGTTAACTAATTAATTTTTATGAATTTAAGCGGATTGAACATAAAACAATTAAGTTGTTGCAAAAAAAACCCTCAAGAATTGTGATGTTTCAGCTCATTTTAAATAAGTAGTTTGAACAAACGTCATTTTTTAAAATGTATCAGTTCAAAATTATATTACAATTAGTGAATAAAGACAGATTTTTCATATCATTTAAGTGTACTGTCTCTTTAATTGGAAAACACACAACAGCTTTGAATCATTTAATGAATGATCGTCATGTACATGTCATGTACATACTGTTTATTATGTATAAATAGTTTTGTCTGTAAAAATGTCATCAAAAAATGTAAGGAATGTAAAGACATCATTATGCATTTGATCACGAACACCTTTACACTCCATTAGAATGAACAGAGTTATGTATGTATGAGCTTTGGTTTGTCACAAGCTATTCTGACATGAACGAATAAAAGATGACAAACTGTTATAAATAAAGCTGTGCATTGTGAAGCCTGCAATGCAGTGCATGTATAGAGCAGCTTAGACAGCGATCGATACCTCAGATGCCTGTTCATTAGATGAGAAAGATCTGGGCCTCCTGAGAGCCGCTCATTCAGGCTCCTCTGAGTCAAACTTAAAGTCTTGCAGAATCTCGCTCAAAGCGGCTGTGTTCTTTATGATTCTAACAGAAACAGAGAGAGATGTTTTATTTTATATACAGATAAAGAAGAATAACAAGGCTTTATTATTAAGGCTTTATTATTATTTATTATTATTTAATAGGCAGAATTGTTCAGATAGTGAGATATTTACTTTCATTAATTCATTTGTTACAGAGATAGATGGACTCTTGCTGATAAATAACACTGATTTGTTAGTAATATGCAATAAAAACATTACATTTTTAAAGCATAATCCAAATAAATGTATATTATAATAGTTAATAATATAATAACTAGATTATAATTTTAGATTATATTGGCTATAATTAAAATAATTATGTATAAATATATTTAAATAGGAATTAGAAAAATTCAAAGTAATAAATTAAAGTAAATATCACAATATTAAAAAATGGACTAAATTTAGTCTTAAGCCCTGGTCAGATCACATGATTTTGGCACAATTTCCTTGACGTAGGGTGTCGTGGTGATTCGTAAACGACAAATGGGCGTCGTGAAACAAGATTCAATCGTTTCTTGTCGTGTACTGTAGCATAGTTCACGACAACCGATAACATGCCTGCAACGCCTCATGACACCATCACAGAAAGTCTCATCACGACGAGTTCTGTCACATGGATGACACTGTGCAACAGGAGCACATAATTTCTGTTATATCAGCGAGTGCTGCCATTAAAGCGGTGGTCGGGTAATCAAAAAATAGGTTTGATATTTACTTATGGGTGTGTCAAGGGTGAATAACATCATCATCATTGCTAATGCAAACTTTAGCTAATTTTTCTAAAATATTAAGGTGTTTTAAGTAATTTTATCTGACAGACTGGCACAAATATCCAGACATCTTCATTCTCACAACAAGTTTCTGAGTTCTCTCATCCTTCCAACAGTTAATTTTTTCAGTTTTTTAGTTTGTGCCCCTCCACTACTCAACTATACAGGTATATGATTTGTTTCGCCCTGTGGAAAATAAGGACCTAATGAATGCTTCACGGTGATTGTATCACAAATCTCAGTTATATATTTGTTAATTTTTTAATATGTCATTATTTTAAAGACTATGGGCCCTATCATACACCCGGCGCAATGTGGCGCAAGGCGAGGCGCAGTAGTCTTTTGGTAGTTTCTGGTCTAAAAAGGAAGGCGTTCTGAGGCGCACGGCTGGTGCGTTGCTATTTTGAGAAACTATAATAGATTTTTCATTAGACCAAAA